CTTCATCTTCAGCAAATTCACAATTAGATGAAGTTGATGATGCTTCTCCAACTTCTATGCCAACATCTCATACTGAATTCCAGATCGTAGTAAATCAGAGTATGCAAGCTAATAAACGTCGTTTGGCATCACAGTCACAGAATAATCATCCAGTAAAAAGAAGTTGCATTTGAACGGTTCTCTTCTCAGTTTTAGTTCATTTAATGTAGGTGTGATCTTCGATGTTTTTTTACTTTTCATTGCTTATTTTAAGTAAATCACGGCAACATTTGTTTAATTTAAATGTGTTTGCTAGGTTTTCCAGGAAATGTTAGAATATAATACAAAAGTCATCGCATAATATGTAATAAATATTTTTTTAGTGTTGTGCCATGGCGTTCTACCATAGATAAAGTCATTTGAAGTAACTCGAAAGTTATTTGAAATACGTCGAAGTTGCTAGAAGTAGCTCAAAGTATTCGAAAAGTACTTTGAAGTACTTCAAAGTAGCCTAAAGTCACTTCAAAGTACCGTAAGTAACTTGAAGTACAAAAGTCCGCTTTTCCCCCTGGATTTGTTTACATGTCACCCACTTGGGGATACCTAGTCGGTAACGCGTAAACAGATACCCAGGTGGGTAATGTATAAACAGATACCCAAACCGGTAACGTTTCAACAGATACCCAAGTGGGTAACATATAAACAGACACCCAGGTGGGTAATGTATAAACAGATACCCAAACCGGTAACGTTTCAACAGATACCCAAGTGGATAACATATAAACAGACACCCAGGTGGGTAAGGTATGAACAGATACCCAATTGGGTAACATATAAAAAAATACCCAAAATGGGTAACGTATAGACAGATACCCAGGTGTGTAACATATCAACAGATACTCCAACGGTTAACGTAAGAACTGATAACCGATTTGGACCCTAGGACCTCGATAAGCTATAGAAAAGTTAGATCAGAATTGTGATTGCAGTTGAAATAAAAACGTCTACGTTGTGAATTTTGGACTCTAGTTCGACCGATTTTCTCAGCCATGAAAGCTCAGAGGGAAAAACTGATAACGGATCAGGACTCAGCGACCCCGACAAGCTATAGGAACGTTTGACATAGATAATAAACTGGTGAAGGGTTAATTGCAAAAACTATGAATGCTTCGCATAGTCTAGGCAACGAACACTGGTTCCGTTGACATTTTACGAAATCTGTTTTAACTCAATAAAACATATTCATAGTTGAACGGGTTAATGCGAAATGACTTTGTTTGAATCGCATCGAAAAACGAAATATTTTCTAACTGAATAAAACGTGCTCATAATTTAACGGGCTCATACGAGTGAAATTTATTTGAATTACATGGAAAAACGAAATGTTTTCTAACTCAACAAAACGTGTTCATAATTTGACCCATTTTCAACGTAAAATGGCATGAAGCAACGCAAATTAACGAAGTTTTTCTCGGTGTGAAAAAATTGATCGATAAATATGCGGTGGAAAACGGATGAAGGGTTCGTGAAATCGGTGTTTTATTCTTAAGGATGCGTAAAAACACCGTTTTTACGGATTTCTAACGCGTTTTTACGCGGTTTTTTGAGGGTCCTGTCTGTCTGGGATATCAGAATGTACTTTAAGACTTTGTGAGCGATGCACATTGCGTAGAATAATTTAATATTGATATATTTCACGAAAGTCAGTCACCACGGATCCAATTCTATTTGCATAAATTGAAGGTTTTGGATAACTAATAATCTATCATCGATTATTTTTGCTGTTACACTTTATGTTGATGAAAAAAGTAATCTTATAATGAAGGTTTGGGAGAATAATATGATATCAAAAAATCTACGCGTAAAGCAATGTGAACCTAACGAAGCATTACCGTTCGTGATATTAAATATTTTTATCTACCATACTCATCTACAGTTTTAGGAAGTAACAGTAAAAATGGAACTTTTTGCTGATGATATCAATACTTCTTAAACACTTTATTTCTATTTTGTAAATAATTATAATAATAAAAAACACAACCCGAACTCGAACCAGTGAATATCTATTGGACTCGGCCTTCAATGCTAATTATACTATACCATGGACGACAATTATTTATAAAAACCTAATTTTTTTTCTGTATGATTATTTTTTTTTCGTTCTTTTTCTTTCATTAACGTGTCATATTCATTATAACGAATGTGAAATGAAAAATACATCAAAGTCATGGACAAATGCATACTATTACGAAGGTTTGTCTCATTTTTCTGACTCATGAAAAAAGGTAAACTGAAGAAAAAATAGAAGACCGCATGTGATCTGATACTAGATATATATATATACGTTGTGAAATGCCAATTGTCGCAAATTGAAAAAACCTTGATGCGTCACTCTTATCGATCATCGTATGGAGTGCATCGTTTTCACGGCACGCGACCCTCCGTTATTCGGTACCGAAGACCTGGATTATCTCATCGGCACGTGATGATACGCCGTCCTGTATTTTATCCTCCAGGAATTCCAGCAAAACAACTCGGTTTTTTTGATAGCATACTCGCTGTGTTAGCTGTATTATTTTGTTGTAACAGAAATCGAACAGGTGGAGGAATAATAGGTATTGGTGGTGGTGGTGGTGGTGGGC